AATTTTGTATGCGAAAGTAATTATTCTGCTAGTAAAATATAAATTCAAGATTTTGTACACTTCAAATTCAAAATAATTTATTCAGTCTAGGATGTTACAAGCTCTTATAAAGAATATACATAGCCACCTGAATGTTGTGAATCAACAGAGTCACCTGTCGTTGATCGCTTTCGAAACGGAATTAAAATTATTATTAGTAATGAAGAAGCAAGATGCAGGCTGGCAGGGTGAGGACTTCACCTTCACTTAACATCAGGTTGGGTGGAGACATTTGTCGGACCTATCTATAAAAAAAAAGTAAAAGAACATTTGGCATCCCATTCCCAATCAATGCCAAATTACAAATACGTACACATATCTCACTTTGAATGCCTTAAAGCTGAATAAATTTATGCTAGCTTTGATTACCACAATAATAGATCATTAACCGTGCTATAGAATTATTGCTGTCACATCACAAAATAAGCATGTTGTGACTAGCAATCCCAACTGAGTTCTTTATCATATTTCGCCCGTCTTATGCAATGAATATATTTACGAGAATATTTCCCCGGGACTCAAATAAATTCAACATAGGAGTGGAAGGGAACTCTCGAATACACTTCAATACACTATGCGATTTGTAGGCATTTTTATCACATTTTTATTCCAGATCGATTTCTTATCGGGAACTTCTAAATTGTTCTTATACGGGTACCTACGTTAGTAATTCTGTATTCTGTTCTTCAAAACGCCAAGGACTCGAAACGCCATTCAGCCTCGATTGTTGATAAATGCTAAGTTCTACCATCGGATGTCCAGACGCACTATAGAACAACGTCCCTTGTTGGTAGCGGATCCTCCCCTTCGCACCAAACACTTCTGACATACCTTTATAATGCGTACAGCGAAGAAAAGGAATTGCCTGTCTGAGTCTGTGTTTCAGAGTGCATTCAATCCATCTCTTTTGAAAACCATAGTGGTTAGGCTCCTTCTGGGTAAGCTCACTACGTTGTAGATCACATCTCTGCTCTCGGGTATTGTAACTGGTAAACTAATTATAAAACCTATTGTATTCTATTTTTATACTTTTAGGGTTCCGCATCTCAAAAGGAAAACCGGAAGCCTTATAGGATCACTTTGTTGTCAGTCCGTCCGTCTGTCAAGACCGTTTTTCTCAGGAACGCGTGGAGTTATCAAACTGAAATTCATACCTAATACTCATGTCTACTGTCCCTTAGAGCTGCGAAAAAATCAAACTTTTAAGCCAAAGCAATCAAAAGATGCAGCCGCTTATGCCGCAAAATTTCGAAATTCGCACGGGAATAAAAACCTACAGGGTACTTCCCGTGAACTGAGAATCTTGAAATTTTGTAGGAAGTAACTTCTTATAGAACAGATAAAGGAAAAATTACGAAAACGTGGCGAGTTCGCGTGGTGGCTCATGGCCCAATATCCCTAATTCATCCATGGGGAAGGCCTGTGCCCGGTAGTGGGGACGTTAATATGCCGATGATGATTAAGATGTTGATGACTTTTTTCCATTTTCACCATCCACCAGTCAAGTTCACCAGTTAACATCTTTTCAAAGCTAGTTTGAAGAGGACTTGGCCGGTGATTTTGACTGGTGGATGGTTTGCACTGAAAGAATCCTCCTGGTGTTCTCTTTCACTTGGGTTGGCAATTTGGCATCGTGGTTTTACCAATCTTGCCTGTAGCCTGGGCTCTACTACCTGGAAATGTAGATTTTTCGTAAAATTTCTGCGCGAGATCACTTTTTCTCTATGCGTGTGACTGACGGTAAAGCTAACCCGTCAAAACGACGGGCAAAAGTCAAGTACTTCAAAAACTATGACACTTAGCTGTTTACTGCGTGCGCTACTGCAAGGGGCTCCCCGGCGACTGAAATGGCTAGCCGAGACAATACATTCGGAGGCAGCGTTAAAAAGGTAGAGCGATTTTTTTGCACTGCCCGTCGAATAGGCGGAGGTTAGCTATCTCGGATATTACGTATATGTGATTGACACTTCGCACTTACTTGTTTAAAGACGTTCGGGAGACAACTGATCAAACCCTAGAGCAATCCTTCAGGATCAAAAAAATCCGTTTGGTTCACCAAACGGATTTTTTTGTTACGGATTCAGGTTCTGATTCGGACTGTGTAAAGCCAGCCTAAGTATTTCATGGACCAACTGTTAAAGGCAGACAGATGAAATTATATTTATAATTATATAAAAATTGGCTTCTCTTCAATAATCCGATTGTGATGGACAGAAAATTATTTAAGCATTGCCTGTTTCAATCATGAACACATTTTAAAATATATCTATATCACCATGGCTTAGAATCTAATTTGGTGAGGTACAAATGCGAGCCGTTCCGCTCAATACCCGATGGAAAACGAACTTTGATTACAAAGCAAATTTTTAGCGAAGTCCAATTACGTTTTCTAACAACGGAAAATATTCAAAATGCGAGGCTAGTATTAGAGTTCTTAGTGAAGGAAGGAAAAAAAATAATTACAAATGAACCCGATTCGAAGAAGGCTTTAGATCTGAAGAAAGTGGACTTAATTAAAATAAAAGAACATTCCTAGGAAGGAATTCAGTGCTATTACGTTTAAGGTCTGGGGAGTCCCTGCTAATAAGTTTCAGAGTAGAAAAAAATACAAAAAAAATGGTTTCGTACTCGACTGGAGAGAAACAAGGCAAAACCTTTCTTCTCCTTCTTTGCTGCAGCTGCAGTATTGGAGTGAAATAAATAAATATGCTGGTATTCATCACACAAACATCTGCCCCCACCGGGATTCAAACTCGGGACCTCTCGAGTAGGCGACACCTTGAAACACGGCGTACAAACCACTCGGCGCCGGAGGTCGTTAAAATATATCTCTCATGAATCGTTTTAGGCACACAAAGTCAAGAATTTCACAAACAGTATTTCTTTTGTCTTTATAATAACAAAGAACAAAATATCTAATAATAACAAAAAAACTGACCAAGCGCGAGTCTGGCCACGCTCTATAGGGTTCTGTAACATCATTCGTTTGTTTTCGCTACAACTTATTAAGCTATTAAACTTATTACGCTGATTCATAATGTATTATGAATCAGCGTTTTCAGTATTTGTTAGTTATAAACAGCATATGGGACATAATATACCTACCAAAATTTTTCATTGTTAACTTGTATCGATTTTGAGATAGATCCCGTAACAAAAATGACCGGAAAATGACAACTATGACCGCCCCCCACTTCTTTGTTATTGTAAATAAAAATTGTAAAAAATATATTTATATCACTTAGCGGGCTCTATACAATTATATGTCATTATGCTAGGGTAAAAAAGAAAAATATATTTCGTCTCCATTTCATGAAAAGTAATTTAATAGAATGTCTATCTAAATATTTGGTTTTGGGCAAGCATTTTACACAAAACACCAAAATTTTAGTTCTGTAACTCATTCTGTTACGATCTAGAGATGCGTGACATACGGATAGACAGACAGACGACAGAGTGACTAGCAATAGGGTTCCTTTTTGACCCTTTGGGTATGGAACCCTAAAAACGTTCAAAGTTAAAAATGAAAGAAGGCTTGAATGTCAATCGCGAATTTCAAAAGTTAAGCCTTGTAAGGTGTTACGCTACACTTCGTGTACGAGTAACTACTTTACCGATATAACTTTTTACTAATTTACTAACAACTAAAACAGACTAAGTTCACGATTCGTTCCAAAAATTATATCTATATGCCCAAAACAGCTCGCTTTTTTTTGCCAAAAAACTTCTGTAGTACTCGTAAGAAATAATTTAAATAACTTGTCCCATCTCATAGTGTAAGACAGTAATTTAACAAAATACTTTTCGTTTTTACATTAAAATAAACTCAATCCTTTTTTACCTCTTTTGACTGGAAAGGTAACAAATGAGACTGGTAAAACTATAACTTATTCACGAATGTCAATACATTCTCTAAGCGTCAAGCTAATATTGATTATGTTTGATTTATTAATTTGTCGGTGTCATACCATTTGTAATTTCAGCATAACGCATTAATTTATCAAGAATGACAGTGTTATTTTCACATAAACGCTTAAAAGCCTTTTCGTTGATGATTCAAATTTTTAACTTCGGAATATAAATATTTTTGCTGTACATGATAAAAGATTTAGGCTGGCCTTACAGCGCCTGAATTAGAATCTGGATTATTAAAATGAATTCATACTCGTTGTATTAATTCAGAGCGCATGGAATTGCATACAGTTTAACTATTATCCATACATACACATTCGAATTATTTCAGATTATGAATATATTATTGATCTTACTTCTTTCTTTCATAGAACAAGAATGCTCTTCCATTATCGCAAGGTATAATGGTACTAAAATGGCGTAACGTTTTGCATATTTCAATAAAAAATATCTCGCTCGAAGACACTATTAAACTGTGTTAAACTGGAAGCAAAAGTCTATTTAGCAAAAAATACTACCAAACGCAGCTTGATGGAACCCAACAATCCGCACTGGGCCCGCATTGTTAGTAATGTATCCTTTCAAAAAGAGAGTGCTATTTTTTTTTCGTACAGAGAGTAAAAGTTAATGATGTTTTCGTGAAGGCCCTCGGCCCAAATTAGGAAATATTAATTCAGGTAATGGTTAAAAAGTAATAACCACTAAACAACTGAGAAAAGCTGTACAAAAAAAATCCTGAAAGCTTTTCGATTTTTTCACGAAGACCCTAAAGTCCATTACAAAATTTAAACGATAATTTAAAGGATTTTTAAAATTATTGCGATTCTCTTTTTAATTGCTTACAGAGCTACATACCTAAAAGGAACTCAATTTAAAAAAGCTATAATTATGTTATTTTTACATTTTATCTTAGAAGATTTTTCAAACACTTATCTTATTTAATGTTTTCAGTGTCAAAACCATAAATCGACTGTTTGGGAATCTATGTAGTAATGACACTAAACGAAAATCAAGTAATTAATGTAAATAAATTATTGAGAGGTAATTACCTATACCAGGAAACGCCGCTGCGGTGTTTCCTTGGCGTGGAAAATCAGTCTTCCCTCCATAATTATATTAGACCAATTATTTTAAACACAAGTCAGATTCACATCACCACCAAATTTTAACAAATACAAAACTAAAACAATCACTTCATTAATAGAATCTGTTGAAAGACGTTATTATTTTGTGGACGTCGCGTATGCAAGAAGAAAAGTTTGAGAAGCGAAATCGCCTCTGTTCACCGCACGACCGCTCAGCACGAAGGCTAAAGCCATACTGAATTGAAGAGGCAGAGATACCGTACCAATGGATATTTTCAGTAATAGAGATGCTTTCCCTGTGTGTAAAGCACATTGCCCGTTGTCTACTAAGGTAGCTTTAGTCAAAAGATTAGACTTAGCAATTATTCTTGCATATTATAATCCTTTTCCTTCGCTTGCTTGCTTTTTTTCTTATTTCTTCAATGTTTAAAAATTTAACTCAGTTTTTTGCTGACGATGTTTATTTTTTATTCGTCGATAAAAAAATGGTAATTAAAAAGTAAAAAGGGATAAGTGACATGGAACTAGAATTTAGCAAACATAGTTCGATGTAGTTTAGGCTAAAGAGTAAATTGAACATACTTTAGACTAAGTAGTCTAACTTTATCATGTAAAACTGGACTTAATGCAAAGTTAACATTGATTTAAAAAAAACCAAGTAATTCCTATTTCTGTGGTAAAATAGAAACAATGCGTTGCTATAACAAGCATTAAATACTATTGAAAACTCCGAGTCCGGCTTTAAATCTTATTTCACATCCAAAAAAATACGTTAATGTTTTCAGCGAGGCAACAAAACATTTTCATCTATTCTTACAAAAGGTTTACAATGACGAATACAAAACGTGTGAACGTTTGAATTCAACCCCACTATTCCATTGTCCCACGCTGGTCAATGGGTCCAAGTCTGACAGACCGGCACGGGCTATTGGGTTGTCAAATAAAGAGAATCGGCAATAAGGCTATTTATGCAAAGTAGGGTTGCGGCACCTTTTTAACCCCACGTCCCTACCTAGGTTGATCGTAAATTGTCTCACATTATTACGTCTGGTGATTTACTGTTTAGATAGGTCCGTTTTGGATTTAAACTCATTTTCTTTGTAGACGCTTTATTGAAACGAATGTGGATTAAAATACCTATGTGCTTGCCATGCCGGAAACTGCCATGCATGATTAAAACTTAATGTTTATACAGCTTTGAAAACAAGTTTCATTATCTGCAAACTACTGCACAGATTTGGATGAAATTTGGTACGCATATAGTTTATAACCTGCATTGAGACATAGGATACTTTCAATCCCGGAAAAAATAGGTTCCCGCGGGATATTCAAAAACTTAAGTTAACGCGGACGAAGTCGCGGGTGGCCGCTAGTTGTGAATACGGTAAAACATATCTAACACTTTCAAATATGTTTTCCTTCATTTGACTTTATTATTTAAATATAACGATTAATAACTATTTTTAACACTCACACCAATTACCCTAGCCCCAAAGTAAGCACTGTATGTAGGCTTATGTTATGGCAAACTAGGGTAACGAATAGATAATACATTTACTGATACATATATAAGTATTTTTAATAGAAATACATATTAAACATCCATGACTGGAGTACAAATGCTCGTATACATCACACAAACATCTGCCCCCACCGTTATTCGATCCCGGGACCTCTGAAGTAGACGACTCCTTGAAACCCGGCGTGCAAACCACTCGGCCACAGAGGTCGTCACTTTTTATTTCTAAATGTTTATTATTTGTCAAATACTCTTATAAACAACTCAAGGAAGTTTACCTTAGGCTACACATAAACTATTCATAGTTTTGTACGCAGTGTTGACATTATATATCTATTCTCGCGGTACAAAATTCGTGATTCTAGGAGAGTATACATCTCAATATTATACTCTCCTAGAATATTCACAGCTTAGAAAAAAATAATATTAAAGCTGTCAATTGTCGAAACATTGTGAAATGGGAAATTGGAAAATATAGATCAATTTAGGTTTAGAATTTAGTTTGGCTTTTGTGTGGGATATTTTGAAATGCATTTTTAGATCAATTTTCGATATATAGTTAAAGATAAATCTAGTAGCATTTATTTTGAGAAATAGTGGTGGATCTTCCAAAGTCAATGTCTTATGCGCATTGATTATCTCCATTCGGTTTCTTTTGCTGCTTACGCCTTTAGGCGTTCTTTGATAGATATAAATAAAGTTTCAAGTCGTTTTTACGTTACTTGTATCTTTTTTGGTATATTTTCATGTGATTTGGTCGAGAAGTTCATAGTGTTATTGTAGAGCAGCAGTTAGAATATATCTCATTTTCGATTTCTGCTCTTAACGTGATTGTGTGGATCATAAAGTAGACTAAGACAAAAGTTGCTCGGTATTCAAACCTTAATCATTATTGTCAAAATGGGTCTTATGTCAAGAGCCCTCGGTCGTACTGAATGAAGAACCTGTTTGGTTTAAAATAAGGGTCTAATAATTTTCTATTTTCCTTCGGATGAAATTAATAACAGGATATTATATTTTAATTTGGATTACTAATTTGTATTGGAATTTCATATGGAAAATTCTGATTTATCTATACTTATATTAAAAGTAAATTATTAGAAGAGCTTAGTATATATTTGAAACGTCTAATAACGTACTAAAAATGGGCTTAAAAAACTACTTCGAAAAGTATTTTTTTTTTGCACTATTAATGGTCAATATTAGACTTTTTTGAAACTGTTATTAGTACTGTTGTTCATTCATTGGAATTTTTATTTCATGCTTTTTAGTGTCAAGTATTGAGGGTTTTCAGTTAAAAATGAATCATTTGTTTTGTGTCTACTCTTCAGCCTATATAAAACGTAAATAAAACTAAACGTCAATAAATAAATAAAGTTTTCGTGCATTAACCCGTAAAAACTAGTTTTATTTAATGAGTGATGTGCGTGAAAACCTAAGAAACAAATACTATATAAAACGTATCTATTTTAGAATGAGCAATGGCCTTTAATAGTTAAAGTGGCAAATTTTTACTTTTGGTAATAAAATTGTACCCTGCTTCCATGATCCTGATGTTATCCATTCAGTGTCTGACTTATTTTGTGATGATGTTGACGATTCTAACTATAGTCTAATACCGATCAGTGATTTATGAGTTGTGGTGGAATAAAGAAACGCAAATAACATACATGAACCTTGAAAATCACACTTCTTTATTACATTCGCGTTCTAGACTACACAGAACTCGGAGTACTAACCGTGAATAAGTTGCTCACTTACATTTCAGCTTTTTCTCCACTGTTATTCCAATCTTTTAGTTAATTAATACACATTGTTTATGTTGTGTGTAACCGTTTCTGTTTTGATGATTTTGAATTCATATTAATTTTTGTTTGTTTATAACGCCAATCATTTTATTTTTATATAATCGTATCATAATGTTTAGCATCCTCATGCCAGGAAAAGGACCTAGTTGAAAAACAGCGTCAGTGAAAACTGACCGAAAGTAAGACCGAAATGTTTAAAAAAATACTTCAGATAATTTACAAATTGGTATTTTTATACTATAGTAGCCGAATAATTCTAATGCGGACGAAGTCGCGGGCGGTCGCTAGTCAAAAGTTTATGAATTTTATTTCTATTATGTATTTTATTATTTATTATCTTGAACGAAGGTCAACGGAAGCAGTAAATAAATATTAAATTGATATTACATTGTATAAATTCATATCCTGATAAATTTAAATAGAAAATTGTATATTTGCTTCAGAGAAATTTCATTTTCTTTAGAGTTTCGAATTACAGTTACAGCTCCGGATTCGTTAAATGGCTTTTTAGTTCTCGTCTTTTTATATTAACTTTAGCTCAGATAATTTCAAAGCTCAAATATTCTTTATATAATTGAAGATCCCAAAATTTTATTAAAATGTATTTAATTTCAATAGGAACTTAGACTAAATTAGTAAAAGGAGTTTCAATATTACGAATTTTTGTAGTAATTTTGTGTGAAGTTCAATCAGGAATTTGATTTTAAATGTAAATCATTATTGTGCCGTTCCATGTATTTTATGGTGGAATTTCTCTTATTTTTTTTGACAAGGTAATGGTTAAAATGTTGGTAATGATGAGTTCTATTAGTATTTTTGTTCTTTTTTGTTCTGTCCTGTAATTTAATTGTATTTGGGCATATTCATGCTGATTTTTTACTTGTGTAGAGTTGAGAAAAAATTATACATCGTTGGGGTTCTGACTTTTTGAAATAATTTTGTAGGACATATCTTATTTAGGTTTAACAGTTAAAATATTCAAAACCAGTTAGCTCTTTTTCCACAACTAAACTTAGGAAGGAGTTTAAATCGCTACAAGTAAAGCTGTGCCATGAACAATTCCTCACTCAATTATAATAATAAATAATTTTATTGAAACACATAAAAATTAAGGTAGGAAAATCGGTATCGAAATATCTGAACTGAACCGTGAATCGCCTGTGCCCGTAATAGATAAAAGAATCTGTACCTATTACAGGTCACCAGGTCTCCATACATTGTGGAGCATTCACATAAATTTAGCTTATTTGAGATTTAACAAAAGAAAGTGATGCAAATGAGGTACTCGATTAGTTATTATGTTATTTCATGTAAAAAGGGTGGCAAACATGCATAATATGACATGACTTATGATAAGACAGTGTTTCCTTTCCTGTCCCCGTAGGATGAGTACCACAATTTACAATATATCACTTTTTTATCGCGTCTAACTGTCAAACTCCATAGTAATTTGACAATTAAGCGTGATAAAAACGCGTTAGGTATATACCTATCATATCGCGGTGCTCGTGTTATGGGTACAAGAGCTCTATTTATGATTCGCTCGCCCGTCATAGTATCGTCGAATGCGACTTAAGTCACCTTCGACTTTCAAGTCGCATGATACTGATTTTCCGTATTTAAAAAAAATGCGTAAGTATAGTGGATCACTCGGTTGGAAGGAAATAAAACATATTTATATACCACCCACAAATCGTCACTGGGCCCGCATGAGGAGTCATGGCCCTATGTCAGTATTTAAAAAAAAAGTATCTTACCCACCAATCCGACGTGTTTCTATCTAGCGGGGCCACTCGAGCTAGACTTATAAAAGTTTGGTAATGCTTTAGTTGTTCAATATACCTCATGAATTTATTAACAAGATTCATTGTACTTCAACCGTTTTCATAGAAATTAC